TGCAGCTGAAACTCCACTATCGCCTGCTGGTGCTCGCACAGTCTCATGAGGTGGTGAGCGGGAAGGCCGAAGTTACGCTGCAGCGCAGACAGGCAAGCAGCAGCAGGGTGAGAACGCCAAAAGTGCGCACATCCTGTTCCATTTTGTGGATCAGTCTGGTGATGGCTTCTGGTATCCAGTACTCTTTTTACTGAAGCTGTATCAGGGTCCTGGTGAGTGGCCGCACAAACACTGGTGCTCAACACCAGGGGGCATGCGGTTACCCTGCACCATACCCTGCTAATCCATTCCACACTGTGACTCCTAACTTCAACATCAGGCCTACTGGGTCCCGGTCGTCCGACCGCCGCCCAGACAGTGTCTGGGTCCTGGTCACCAGACGGCCCACCTAACTGTGAAACTACAAATGGATCGTTAAATCTGGTACAAACTGGAACTTTGCAGTTCGGGTTCGCTCAACTTTATTATGGATCCTTTGATCGCTACATACATGTATTACTTGGATAACTGGTAATTCTCGAGCTAATACATGCCGATGAGCACTAGGGGACGGCCGCTCCGCTTTTGCACCCTGCTCCCTTTTATGCTGTGCTGGTGCGTCTGTGTGACCAGCGCTTCTTCCTCCAAACTGCACACATCACTTGCATGACCTTGATTCCATATGGGGTCTAAGACCTCATCATCCTCCACATCATCTTCCACCCACTCCTCAACCCTGCCCTCCTTGCCCGGTATACACACTGCAGAAAGCCCAGGCAGTTGGCACCTGTGTTTTTCCAGCATGTAAAGTCTGCAGAGGACATATGGAAATTGTTTTAGAATTGTATCCAGGCAACAGTTTTCCCCATAAACTGACCTCTCAGTTTGACTTGTGAGGGTATTGCCCCAGAATTACAATATTGTTGAAATACCTCTTAGCTATTGATAACTGGTTTAAATATAGCAGCTTGTTATCTGGTAGTTTCTAGTGTAGAAAATATCAATCTGTTTTCTATCACTTAGATCTGTGTAACAAGTGTTGTAGGTGTGAATCAATATTACAAGTGACCGATGTAGTAAATTCGAATCAAAGTTACGCTTCGATTTGACACTCAGATATGAAGTGAACACCCCAAATATACTATTTAGCACCCAAAAAAAACTGACTTTTTAAAACTCCATTATAAGCAGCAGATTAGCAGCAAAACAATCAGAATGTTTACAACTGCGCAGTAAACGCACTATTAGACGCTTCGATTTGACTCTCAGATTTGAAGTGCACACCCCAAAATGTACTATTTAGCAGATTAGCAGCAAAACAATTAGAATGTTTACAACTGCGCTGCAAGCACACTATTAGACGCTTCGATTTCACTCTCAGATATGAAGTGCACCCCACTAAAATACTATTTAGCAGTTTAGGACCCCAAAAATGTTAAGTTTTAAAACTGCAATGTGACAGCAGTATTTGACGATTCTATTTGACTCACAGATATGAAGTGCATCCCACGAATGTACTATCCCACTAATGTTCTATTTAGCACCCAAAAAAATTACTTTTGAAAACTCCGATGTAACCGCGGTATTTGAAGCTTCTATTTGACTCTCAGATATGAGGTGCACCCCACCCCACCCCACTAATGTACTAGTTTTCAGAATTCTTTCCTAAGCTGTCCCTATCAGCGGCAGCATCCTTTCCCTACACTAATAAGACCTCATGTGCGTGCGGCGTTACGCGACTCCAGCTTATATATAGAGGCTGGGTCACATGCTGCACTGGCCAATCACAACCTTGCCATTAGTAGGCATTTCTGTGATGGCTTCTAAGGGCACACGAGTCAAACGCTTGTTGATTGGCTGCCCTGCAGCTTTTCAAAACGTGCCATTAAATGGCCGAACACCGAACTCCAACCCGAACATAAAGTGATATGTCCATGTTCGAGTCCGGGGTCCAAAAAAACAATTGTTAGGTACAAAGCAGATCTTTACAGTTGGCGTTCACTCAATTCTATGTGTATTTATTGTCCAGTTGTTATCTCCCACAGTGGGAGATGGTTATCTGCTGTAAGCATAGGCGTGCGCAGCCTATTGCATTAGGGTGTGCACCCTAAAGCACAAGCACACACCGCATATATATATATATATATATATATATATATATATATACACACACTGCTGTGTGTGTGTGTGTGTGAGGGTGCTGTTAGTGTGATGTGTGTATGACGATGCTGGTAGTGTGCTATGTGGGTGAGGGTGTTTGTGTGTGCGTGCTTGTGAGGGTGCTGTTAATGTACTGTGTGTGAGGGTGCTGTTTGTGTGTGAGGGTACTGGTAGTGTGCTGTGTGTGTGTTTGTTAGGGTCCTGTTTGTGTTTGTGAGGGTACTGTTAGTGTGCTGTGTGTGAGGGTGCTGTTTGTGTAATGTGTGTGAGGGTGCTGTGTGTGTTTGTGAGGGTACTGTGTGTGTGTGGGTGCTGTATGTGTGTCTGTGGGTGCTGTATGTGTGTCTGTGGGTGCTGTATGTGTGTAGGTGCTGTGTATGTCTGTGGGTGCTGTATGTGTGTAGGTGCTGTGTATGTCTGTGGGTGCTGTATGTGTGTAGGTGCTGTGTATGTCTGTAGGTGCTGTATGTGTGTAGGTGCTGTGTATGTCTGTGGGTGCTGTATGTGTGTAGGTGCTGTGTATGTCTGTGGGTGCTGTATGTGTGTAGGTGCTGTGTATATCTGTGGGTGCTGTATGTGTGTGGGTGCTGTATGTGTGTTGGTGCTGTGTATGTCTGTGGGTGCTGTATGTGTGTAGGTGCTGTGTATGTCTGTGGGTGATGTATGTGTGTTGGTGCTGTGTATGTCTGTGGGTGCTGTATGTGTGTAGGTGATGTGTATGTGTGTGGGTGCTGTATGTGTGTAGGTGCTGTGTATGTCTGTGGGTGCTATATGTGTGTTGGTGCTGTGTATGTTTATGTCTGTGGGTGCTGTATGTGTGTGGGTGCTGTATGTCTGTGGGTGCTGTATGTCTGTGGGTGCTGAATGTGTGTGGGTGCTGAATGTGTGTGGGTGCTGTGTATGTCTGTGGTGCTGAATGTGTGTGGGTGCTGTATGTCTGTGGGTGCTGTATGTCTGTGGGTGCTGTATGTCTGTGGGTGCTGAATGTGTGTGGGTGCTGAATGTGTGTGGGTGCTGAATGTGTGTGGGTGCTGTACGTGTGTGCTGTGTGTGTGTTGTATGTGTGTGGGTGCTGTATATGTGTGGGTACCGTGTATGTCTGTGGGTGCTGTATGTCTGTGGGTGCTGTATGTCTGTGGGTGCTGTGTATGTCTGTGGGTGCTGAATGTGTGTGGGTGCTGTGTATGTCTGTGGGTGCTGAATGTCTGTGGGTGCTGAATGTGTGTGGGTGCTGTGTATGTCTGTGGGTGCTGTATGTCTGTGGGCTGTGTGTGTGTGCTGTATGTGTGTGTGTGGGTGATTGTGGGGGGTGGAGGTGGGGGTACATTAATTGCTATCCCCCCTCCCTTCTTACCTTTTGTAGGGAGGGGGGATCGTGCTGCTGCTTCCTTCCCTGGTGGTCCAGTGGAGGAGGGGATCCTTGCTGATGTGATCCCTGGTGGTCCAGTGGAGAGTGAACTCTAGCCCCCTGTGGGGCTAGAGTTCACTCTCGCGAGATTTGAGCGTTGCCGTGGCAACGCTCATATCTCGCGAGAGGAACCCGGCGGAGCTGCCGGCAATAGCTCCGCCGGGTCCTCTCCTGCCTCCCTCCCTGCATGTGGGTCGGTGGGGAGGGAGGCTGAGAGCAGAGCCGGCGCTCGGATAGCGCCGGCTCTGCCTGAGCCGACAGGGGAGATCCTGAGATCTCCCCTGCCGGTCTCAATATACATAGGCGTGCCGCGGGGATTAGGGTGTGCCCAGGCACACCCGGCACACCCCGTGCGCACGCCTATGGCTGTAAGCCATCCCCCACCAGCCTGGGACTGAGGAATTTGTACAGAATGAATGGAGACCCACTGCGGAGGTCTGTGCATAAAAGAAGCCTGTTTTCAATAAAGATTGTCAGTCTTTTTACCTCCAGAACTGTGTGTTGTCCAGTAACTGGAAGGGAAAATGGATGCCTGCTTGTTGTAAGGATTCCTGAACGCCTAAAGGAAGGGAACTAGCGGGGGTAACCAGTCAGGTTACCAGGGGTCTACTATAGTAGGAATTAAAACTTGAGAGGGGTTAAAGTTGTGATATAAGGAGTGCTTATAATTGCTGGTTTTAGGATATGAATGGGTTAAATTTAGTATTAGGGCACAGGTTGTGTTAATGATTATTGAGTCTAGTTTTACAGTGAGGTTAAATTTAGTGTCGGGTACAGGAGGTGCTTAGAATGATTGGCTTTAGGGATTGAGTGTGGTGGAAAGATCCACACCTTATGTCCTGGCAGAATCCAAACTTGAGAGCTTGGAGAGATATCTTGTATGTGGTAAACAATCATCTCTGGTTTATTGTAAAAAATACAGTAGCATTTATACAGTATCATTAACAAGAGAAGTGTTTGGGGGGGGGGGAGATTAAGAGGTGGCGTATTAGTCATGGAAATGGAATGTGAAGGGAGTTAGTGCTTGCAGTGTCAAACGTTCCGTTATCTACTTAGTATCGAGTTTATAACGCACGGGAGAGGGAGGAAGAACAGGATGTAACTGGAGAACGTTTGATGGCTAACATGAGATAGACGAGGTAAGTAGACTGAACTTGTATTATGTAGAAAACAAAATGGAGTCAATAGCTATACAAAATGGATGATGGCTTATATTCATTACACTGAGAGGGGTTAAGGTTATTATTTGGGAGTTGGGGTGCTTACAACGATTGTATTTTGGGGGTTTGAGAGGGGTTAAATTTAGTATTTGGGTACAGGGGGTGCTTGCAATGGCTAGTTTTAGGGTCTCAAAGGGGTTACATTTAGTATTTAGATATTGGGGTGCTTACAATGATTGATTTTAGGGTCTGGGAGGGGTTAAACTTAGTATTCGGATAAAAGACGTGTTTAAGATTTACAGTGGGGTTAAATTTAATATCAATAGTAGAAAAGAGTAAAGGGTTTTTTTTAGGTTTAAGTTTGAGTGTTTAAATTTGTGACAAAGGGAATGGTATCTGTATTATTTTTGGATTGATTAAGTTTAAGGTGAAGGAGAAGAGGTTGTCTCTGAAAAAGGTATGTTGGGTTTTAAGGGTTGTTTTCATAGTACTCATCCTCCTGTGTCTTGTATAGTCCAGTCAGACTGATAATTAAAACTACAGGAGCTGTTATACAGTGTGCATTACTCAGAGATTCCCCTGCTCCTCCTGCAGGGCATTTCCTATGTGGAGGCTACTAGTGACAGATAGGAAATGATCACTTCCTGTCCAGTCTCACATACAGACAGTGGAGGAGCTGGGACAGCACTTTTTTTTACATTTCTTTCATTTGCACCCCCGCAGCTCTGATATCAGACATAGGAGGCTGGGTGTGATACTTAGGACACTGGTCTTGTCTCTCACCACCAGCTCTCTTCAACTACACAAAGGCTGAGAACAGACACCGCTATTGGACATGAGCCCGTAGGCTTTAATACACTTTGGTTAATTCTAATTTCAGACTGCCAATGGGAATGACTGATTTACAGCTCACAAGGATATCCTCTTCAGCTTACAAAGTCACGAGGCACATTTACAATATATGTCTATTGCTGCAAATTATATCAGCTGAACAACAGACACCATAAACTCTACAGACATCTTATATTTGGAAATCTTTTAAAATTGAACTTGTTGGATGAAATAAATACATATTTCCTTAGCAGTGCTTGACTTTACACTAGTGAATGTTTTATACAATCGGTTTATACAAGACAGACATTCTCATAGAATTTACCGATTGCATTTTTTTTTCCTAGGTAAATCTACAGCGTCTGGGACGGAAAAGCTTGAAATGTTATAGAATGGGTAAAAATGTGTTAAGATGTTGGCAACAAACATCTGCTTTGCTTTTAATTTGGGAACAGATGCTGTTAGTACCAGTGTTTGTTTAGCTAAATAAAACATCAACATGCATATCAGTCTGTATTTGTTTAACACCTTCGTTGTAAATCCCAAGAAATGTATTTTGCAACTTTATAATAGATAAAACATTTTACTTAACTGGTATGTAACAGAATGTAATGTATCTTATTTCAACGTTATGTGTCTTATTTTAATGAACAGCTGCATCAGGCCAGTAAAACAGATCGAAAATATTACTGCATAGCAGTGTAATATATATATATATATATATATATAGTATATAATAAAATAATAGATTTACAAACAGGGTGTGGAAAAGGTGGCGCTATTAAGTTATTAAGTTAACCCTTAAACCTTCAGTTTTCTCGAGTGTAGCGCTACGTGTTGTTCAGAAGAATAGATTTGTGAATATATATAGTGCTTTATATGCACTTACCCTCTATGTCACACTTGTATTACATAGAAAAGAGGGAAAAGAAATACAAATAATTGTGCAGTATATCAAAATAAATTTAGTGATTTTGTGAGCTTTAAATATGAATCCACTCACATTTTTTAGAGCCTTTTACAGTTTTAAGGCTCTAAACTTCCTGGCGTCTGTGTCTTTTTCGGGTAGAACACACGACCCTTCTCTCACGATATGTACGTATATGTTTTTCTCCACATTAGACAAAGAAAAGACAGATGATCCAATCTAAGTGTAGTATTTTAAGTATTGATAAAATCAATATAAATAAAATACAATATTGCTCACCTTGTTTAGAGCCCTTGATACCTGGCTCTAAGTGTATAGGCCTAGTGTCAATTAGTGGGGTGACACTACCCCTTCTTGGAATCACTTGAACAGGATGCAGTGAATTATATTCAAATGAATAGTATATTTATTTCTAAAGGATTAAAATGTATACAAACTTTATATAAAATAACAAAAAAATATATAAAAGATTCCAAATGGATATTACAAAGTAAATGCCAAAACGCGTTTCACCGTCAAACGGCTTCCTCTGTCAGCTTCTAATCATCCTCTGCACTGTGTCGGTTTTTATATCTTCATATTTCCCGCCAGAAATCCGCTTTGTTTCTGTCCGGTGTGATTCACGTGACGCAGGCCAATGCCGTTGCGTCACTTCCTGTTGTCCGTACTACATTTCCCATCATGCTCAACGTCCTTCGGCGTCACTTCCGGTGAGCGCCGATATAGTCCTGGGAAATGGAGTTCTCAACTATGTTGTTCCCGGATTCATTTAGATGCATACATAGATTTAAACATAATAATAAGGTTAGGGAACAGGAGGGAATAACACAATAAAAATAATGTATCTCTATTTTAATGAATTGAAACATACAATAAATAAAAGAAATATAATAAACGGAACCCAGTGTGTATATTGTGTTTATTTCCTAATAATTTGCTATTTTGATATTATCATATTTGCCTATAAGGGGATTGGAGTAATCTATATCTATGTAATCTGCAATTAAAAATGAATAAAATCTGCTTTCAAAATATCTTTTGTAGCAGATATTATTAAAACCTTTCCTTCTTATATATAATTAATTTGTGTATTACTGCCTATAGTAAAAAGAAGAGAAAAAATAAACTCTATTAGAAAAAAATGTGTTTTTTATTTCTATTTGTCTAATGGTTTCCCTTGTTTTTAAAGTGCTACAGTATTGATTCTTATTAGAAGTATGTGGTTATTAAAGCACTATAAAAAATGACATAATTCAAAGTCTGCATTAAGACCTAGAGGGGCTAGGGTATTTAAATTAAAAATCCATTTTGTCTCTATTTTTCCTTATTTCTTTATTTCATCCTCCCCTCTCCAATTTAAAGTGACCTTTTGTATAGCA